CTCTTCCGATCTCCCCAAAACCCCAAAACCCCAGCGAGTAGGATCAATAGAAATGATCTGAAACTAAATTTACTTTAAATTATACATCATTACAAACTCAACCATACAAAATATTATTTTTAAGATTTGTGAAATTGAAAATGATATCAAGTTTTAAGTTCTTTGCAAAGTCCAAAAAAGAAAGTAAGGATGGCAAGTTGAGCTGTACATATAAGTAATATTATGAATGGCCAGATACTATCCACATTGTCAAAGAGATACCCACCTACTTTATTGATAAATAGTACTCCAACTGACCCAACCAATGTGAATGCACCAAACAATGTTCCTCTAGATTCTTACACTACTATTTTACTTAATAGAGTAAAACCCTAAAAGATTAATAACTTTATACTTGCTGTAATTTACCAATAAATAGAGGTTGATATAAAGAGCAAGGGTAAGAGTGTATCCTACGAATAGGCATATTGGATTGTTAACTGGAAGGATCATGATTACCTAAGTCACTAATAAAATCAAGACATTCACTGCAATGTTTATCCAGACTTTGTATTTGTCACTTGTGTACCCAGTGAGAAGGGAGAGAGGGATTACTAATAAGTTACTAGCCATGATAAGCCAGCTAATTACATCACTTGAACCTTATTTACTATATCCTTACGATTATAGTTTGTCCTCAAAGTAAAGAGGCCCAAACTAATATAGAGCGACAGATGCCATTTTTGAAGATAATCCAGTGAATATTGCGATAATAAAATCACGCTGCGATATTAAAGTATGAACAAGCTATTACCAAGCGAATCTTAAAGCAAGTCTCCTTTAATACCTCGTAGATAATGAAGATTTTACATCTTTAATGCCAAATAATAAGAATGGAAGAGATACCAGGACTAAGCAGCCAATCAATAAGAAGCAGTACTTTAGATCCATAATGTTTGACAACTAAATAATCAATGTAGTTGATATGATAGATGCAATTGTTATGAGTACATTTGACTAGAAAATTTTATGAGGCTAATATAAATTACATAAGAATTGGCTAATCCCTAAGAATCTTTCTAAATATAGTCTGGTAATAAAGGTGATATAATTCCAGGAAGCACAAACACTCCAACCATTACTCTAATGGAAATTTTATGAAATAAAATTACTTGAAAAGGCACACATATGGAAACACACTATCTCCATAAGGCAATACAATGATTGATACTCCACATACAAGAAACCCAATCAAAATAGGAATTTTACGTCCTAAAATGTCAATCATTAAACCAACTAAGAAATCAACTACAATCAAAGTTATTTCTTGATAGAGGCCAAGATTTCCAAGGACATCACCTAGCTAGTTCTAGGGCACATTGTAATATTTCTCGCTTTTAAGTAAAAATGAGATAAAAGTGTTCATGAAATTTATAATGAGGTAGGACTCGAACTGTATTACAAAGAAACTCATGACATTTATGCTATTAACCCCCCTGCGCATTTTTATCTTCAAAAATTCCTCTGGAATATATGGAATTGATTTGCTCGATAATAAACTTAGTTTTGAATCTGATTCTTCTATTGAAGGCAATTTCTCTAATTCCTTTTTATTTGACTGACTTTAATCACTTAGCACGGTACCGTTAATGAAAAGGTCACTATTAAGTTATTTTTCCATTGACTAATTAAATATCTGATCTAATAAACTACTCCATTAATTTTTTTACTATTTTTGACCACTGAATAAATTCTTAGGGGTTTTGGGGTTTTGGGGTTTTGGGG